CCTCTATGACTGGCACTTCTGAACTCAAATTTCCGTATCTGTCCTTGCCGGAGACACCTTCGAGACGCTCCATGTTGGCACCCGATGCGAGGCGCTTCTGAGGAACGAGATCAAGGCCAGTAACTTGGTCCACTTCTTTCATAGAGAGACCAATGCGCGAACCTTGTATACTGATGACTTTGACCTTGACCGGCTGACCTCTGGACACCAAGTCAGAGGGGTGATTAACTCGTGCGCCTTCCTGCATTGCCGAGACATGTACCAAACCGTCGACTTTGCCTTTTACCCCCAAGAGATTCACAAAGGCACCAAAATCTTTGACTCCTGTTACACGCCCGTCATAAATTTTGTAGAGTATGGGCTGGTCGTCCAATTCGACCGGAGGAGGCTTGCGGAAATAGTCGTCATCTTCGTCGCGATCCCGGCGCCTCCGTCGCTCGCTGCGCCCGTTACGATACGTGTCATCTCTGGCACCGTATTTGCTCGTTGACCGACCAAATTCGTCCACCTCGTCACCTCTTTTACTGTAGTCCGGGCTGCGCGATCGCGATCGTGAGCGGTATTTGGCTTCGCGCCTACGGCCCCGACCATAGTCATCGTAATCCGGGCTTCTGCTTCGCTTTCTGCTCGTCCGCTCCTCTCGTGTCGACCGACCCTTATCTTCCCGAGCCTTTCCTGCTAGTCCTTCCAGCATTGCAAACGTGTCGTCCATAGCTCCGGCCTTTGCGTCACGCTCATCGACATCCCTACTTCGAATGTGGTCGTCTTCATCCCATTGTTGTTGCTTGTCAGGAACAGCAAGTCCCTTGAAAACCCGGGCCTTCTTCTCCAGAGCATCAAGAACATCCATATCCCCGTCCGCCTCTGTTCTCTCCTGGGTGGTGTCTGCTTTCTTCGCCTTGTATTTCGGGTGCATCGTAAGAACCAGGCGATCGATACTCTCCATCAAACTCTGCGGGAAGTCCGCACCCATCGCCTCCAACTTCCCCTTGAACTCGTCGAACGAGCCACATGATAGATGCTGATCAATCACAAACTCAGCGAGTGTCTTGTCACTGACGCCTAAGTGATTCTGGAGCTCACCCGTGATTCGCGAAACGAGCGAAAAGAGCTCCAGGGACTCGAGGTCGTCCATAACCTGCAACGGAGAGCAAAATCACCAGATGCGAAAATCTGAACTTATGGAAGGAAGATCGAATGAACAATGTATGATATTGATAGCGTCCCACGTGCGAGAGAGCGCCAGACACCCTCTGGCAACAAAAGCTGCCTTCTTGATGTTGTCTGCGACAATTTAAAGATTGGAGCAAGCTCTCCGTCGCGGAAAATCGTTGTGGCGTGTTCGGAGTTCTCGCCACTGATAAGATAAGCCACAGCAAATATAAAATTGGCAACTGGTCGAGAACCACTAGCAGTTTGAGATTCTGTTTACATTTTACTTCGTACCCCTTATGCATGTGATTAAGAGACCTAAACATATAGATAATGTACGAATATGGAAATATTGCAATATACAAGCTGCGTTTCAGACTATTTGAATGCAGCACTGGAAAGTTCTAGTTCCTCTTTCAGAAATATATAGCACTAGGGCCGGAGCGGCGAGTTTTTAACCAGGCTCTATAAAATAATAATGTTACATTAAGTCTAAGATGTATCCGCAAAACTTCAATCCTATTGTACATGCTTCCGCTTATGCCATGTATAGTCGATCGGAGCGACCAAAGTCGCCTGAGTGCGCCTATCTATCAATGGTGAATGGGTCCTTCAAACCCCACGCGCAGCAGGAGCTGCTCTTTCCAGAGGACTATCTTCAGCAGATACGTCAACAGGAATTGTGTCCCCTTCCTGGCCGTCTCCAAATGGATCATAACTTTCCTGACCCTCTTGCTCCAGAGAACCATCCTCCGAAGAGACATCGACGGGGACGCGTTCTCCGTTCCCTCCGTCTTCGAATGATTCAATGTTCGCTTCAGCAAGGACCCGTTTCTGCTCGGCGATCTGTTTCTGCAAAGCGATCTGTCGACGCAGTGATGCATCTTTCCTCAACTTCTTGTTGGCGGAGAATTCAGTAAGCGCCCTAACCATCCTCTCTTCCACCATCTCCTTGACATGAGCTGCGAGGGTGCGATCCGTGAATATACCCCCAAATCGGTAACTTAACCAAGAATATAAGATGACCGATCTGTGCAGGCCTTCCAGCTCATGCAGATAGTCCTTGTTTCCAGACACCGGTTTCTCAAGGATTTCCAGATTCAAGTCAGGGATATCCAGCAATCCACCACCGGAATGCTCTGCAACACATTCGGCAAACGCGCAGGCAACGTTGCGTGATGTTCTGTCCCGAGTGTACATGGGCGCAGCCATAAAAGTCACTTGATCTTCGATAGGTAGGCCAACCACACTGTCTATAACTTCCGCATTGTCGAGTTGACCGCGAGGGTCACAGAGGAAAAACAGAGGATTGACTTCACAGACTTCCAGAAGACGTTTGATAAGGTACTCAAAAGGAACGTCCTGCGGAAAATAGGCGGAAAACTTTTGGAAGACAGGATCGGGAGGGAAAATGCCGGCAGCGGTAAGCGGTGGTGGTTCAGTCTCCATCGCCTCGCGAATATATGGCAAATCGACTTCTTCCAGAGCTGTCACCAAGCCAATATTTGACTCAGCGTCGTTGGTATCTTTCTTATCTTGCTGCGAAGCCGGGCGATAGCGGCCAGCCCGGCCTCCGATTTGCTTGATCTCGGGAACAGACAGCCTCACTAAACCCCCCGGGACCCTTTTAACTAAGGTCTCGAAGATAATGCGCTTGATACTCCTGTATCATGGTTAGCAAAGTGCCATATGATAGAGTGTAAATCAGTGCTTACAAGTTGAGCCCCATGCCGATAGCGTCACTCGCAACCAGGAAATCGTAATCATTGTCGGGGTCATTGAAGAGTTTGGCCTGCTGCGTACGAATCTCTGCAGGCAAGCTTCCGTACACAATCGCCGCTCTTCTGCCTGTAACTTTCTCAATATCTGCTTTCAGCGCGTGGATCCCGACGCGGGAGAAAGCGACCAGGCAATCTCCTTTTTGAAGATTCTTCAAATCGCCTCGGATACTCTGATCCATGACTTTGAGTGGGTTTAGTCGTTTGTACCGATGAATCTCGAGTCTGTCACCTGTGAGAGCCGCAAGCTCTCGAACCAAGGGCACCACTCTTGTTTCGCCACAAAGATGAAGTTCCTTAGCCCGCGCACCAAGGACGGCACGTGTCCACGCCCAGCCACGTTTAGGGTCCGCCAGCATCTGAATCTCATCGATGACTCCGACGTCATATGGCTGTCCTAGATTGACCATTTCAACTGTGTTGCTGACAATGGTCGGAGTTTGCCCCTCCGGTATTTTAACATCGTCCCCAGTCACAAGGCTACAGGGGATCCCGCTCGCCTGAAATCGATGATACACTTCTTGCGCAAGCAGTCTAAGAGGCCCAGCGTAGAAGCCACTTTTGGAAGCTTGAAGCCGTTGTAACGCATGATAAGTCTTCCCAGAATTCGTTGGGCCAACGTGCAAATGGATTGTCCGTTGAAGTGCTCGGGCTTGAGGGTACCATTCTGCGGGATAGCGCAAATCGGCAATCTTCTTCTGCTGTTCCAGACGGGGAGCAGAATACTTTTGAGTAATCTCTTCTGCGTGCATAAGATACCTCAGCTCACTCCTCAGACCCGCGATACCCGAGCTGAGATAGGCTTTCTGAAGTGTGGTTTTGACATGGCGTAGAGGCCCAAAAGCTTTCTGGCCCGTCCGGTCTTCCAGTTTGCAGGCATTCAACACATAGCGCTCGAATCTTTCCCATGCTGCCAAGGCCGGATCGGATGACTCTTTTAGGCTCTGCTTGTACTCTCCTAGCTCGGACTCGACAATGGAGGCGAAGTCGCGAATGACAAAGGGTTGACTCAGAGGTCTACGGGCGAGTGGCCTCTTTTTCGAAGACTGTACGGCAAACAAACGAATCAGCAACCTTGTCAACAATGAAAGAGTACAAACGACGGTATATGCTAGGATCTGTTACGCTTTTCTTTAAAGATTGCTCCACTGCCTCGGCCTTTTCTTGCTTAGCTTTCTGAGACTTTCTTGCCTTCTCCAAGATGGGGCTCGTCGAGAACGATCGCTGCGCGGGACGAAATACAGGCCGTAAGGCACAGAAAAGGCAGCGGCTGCCTTTGCTGGTCCATGACTGCATTCCTTGAGCAGCTCGAAAGATATGTGAGGCAACGGAAGTTGTTCGAAACGAAAGCTCAGGAACTGGCTGAGAAGCTAGGTTGCGTCGCACCTGAATCGTCGCGGATCGTACATATAGTAGTCGAATTGGAAGAACAGCAKGCGAAATATCTTCAATGGGTCGTGAAACAAGCGTATGGTAGCAGTGATCCCAAGCAAACTATGAGAATATTTGTAACGACATCTTTTTCTATCGGATGGCTTATCGAGAAGATAATAATAATTTGATACTGTCCAAAACTCCAGTGAACCCACCGCCACACCGCATCGGCGATCCACCGCGGGTTTCATTCCATCCACCTGCAATAATTCCAAGCTTGCCGCTTTAGAGCGATGACGGATAGTGGGGACACTGAGGGGGGTCCTGAAGTCAACTGATACGTTTCAGAAAGATAGGCTTCACTTTTGATTAATTCAGTTGACTTTGGCTTCTGTTGTTCCTCCTATTGTCACCTATTTTATTTCCCTCCTGACAATCAATATTGTCGCAGCAAGCTGCAATTACTACGACTAGAGCCGGCAATCGCCAGCCTGACTGCACAGCTAAGGCTGCCAGCCAGCCAGGATGAGCTCTTCAATTATCAACATCCAGCGCGATGGTCAGTTTCATAATCTATGTCTTTAGGCCAAGTATGTTCTTCTGTTACTGACTGTTTACTATTCCAGTTATCCTTAACACTATTCGTCATGCGGGAGGCAATGAAGTGCGATGAGCCCCTCTCTACTGTATACTAGGATGTATGACGGAGCTGACGGTTGCCGCTTGCAGTGGAAAGTCTTGGTTGTGGACGAGACTAGCAGGAAGTTGATATATAATGCGACCAATGATGATGATATTCTCAACCTCAATGTCACCAGTAAGCCTATACACGGCGCTCCAACACATGCGCACCGGCTAATAGTCCTTCCCTCCAGATGTCGAGCAGATCGAGCATAGGCGACCACCCAATCCCGACATGGATGCGCTGTACATCCTGTCACCTCAAACACACATCGTCGACTGCCTTATGGCCGATTTCGAACGGAAAAGATACAGGCGAGCATGGTTGGTCTGGACGTCAGGTCAGTCATTTGTTCTGATCGGAGACTGGACAGTGTAATCTGACATTGTCTGCAGTCCTCGATCCACAGCAGCGCACCAGACTGGACAGGTCACAGATGGCGCGCGAGCAGATTGCCGATTTCCGGGTCATGAATATAGACTTCTTTCCAAGAGAATCGCGTCTAGTCACCTTCCGAGATCCCTGGAGCTTTCCCGTTCTGTTCCACCCTGGCTGCAATCACCTGATTCGAGGACATTTGCAAGATTTAGCGCAGAAGGTGACTCGGCATCATGAATCTTTCTGAGCACTATACTGACTTTGTCGAGGTTGTATCACTGTGTGTGAGTTTAGGAGAGTATCCGATTATCCGATATTACCGGCCTAGGACTCCTACCCACGAAGCCAGCGTCTTGTGCTCCCACCTCGCTCGATTCATTCAGAACGAATTGGACCAGTTCGCTCAATCTCAGAGAGACTTTCCTCCTCCTTCGCCGAGGCCTCGCGGTGTTCTTTTGCTGGCAGACCGCTCTATGGATATGGTTGCCCCCCTCATCCACGAATTTACATACCAATCAATGGTGCATGATTTGCTACCCATAAAAGACGGGGATAAGGTCACCTACACCACTGTTATCAATACTGGCAGTGGTGGCGGGGAGAAAAAGGACATGGAGATTAATGAAGAGGATAATGTTTGGGTTGAATATCGGCATCAGCACATGAAAGATGTGTTGGAGAAGCTGGGTCGAGATTTTGCGAAATTTAGGGAGGCCAATCCTCAGTTCGCGGAAGAGTAGGTGACTCCTGGGTTTCTTCCTGACTTAAGACTTTGTCTATGATTCATTGCCCCCCAAGGTGGGCGGGAAGGAGTTGACATGTGCTGACCTCTACTATAGTAATGACAAGGCCAACGTGAACACGATCAAGGACATGCTCGCGGGCTTAACGGAGTTCCAGAAAGGTCGAGATGCATACACACTTCATCTTAATATGGCAGAAGAGTGCATGAAATTCTTCCAAGACCATAAGCTTTTGGAAGTCAGTTCAGTTGAGCAATGTCTTGCGACTGGTCTAGACGAGAACTATAAGAAGGCAAAGAACCTGGCTGCACAGCTTGTTCAGCTCCTCGATGACGATGCGGTTGTGCGCCCGGACAGATTGAGACTCTTGCTCCTCTACATCATGTATCGGGGAGGTATCTTGGCAGGCGACATCCGGAAGCTCATCGCACACGCCCAACTAACATCACAGGACGGAGAAGTCATTTCCAATCTTGATCTACTTGGAATCAGGGTAGAGAAGCCACTGAAGGACGACAAGCAACCGGTTCAGCCGTTATTCCCAAGGAAACCTCCAGCTGCCACAGAGATGGACGAAGCCAGCCTTTCTCGATATGAGCTGAATGTCAAATTGCTGCTCGAAGAACAGGTCCGGGGCACATTGGATCCTGCACTGTTCCCCTTCACCCGGCCTCATACCACAGCGGATGGCATGGCACAGCAGGATGCTCTCGCGCAAGCGTCTTTGCGAAGCGCCAAACCAACGTGGGCGAGGACTCGCGGTTCTGCCGAGCAGCCACGGCAACGAATCATTTTGTTTATGGCTGGCGGAGCTACATATGGGGAGTCGCGCGCCTGCTATGAAGCGTCGCAGATGTTTGGGAAAGACATATATTTGGCCACATCCCACATGCTAACGCCAAACTTGTTTTTACGGCAAGTCAGCGATCTGAGTGCAGACCGAAGACGTCTTGACATTCCTGCCGAACGGCCCAAGCCCACAGCGCCAGCTCATCTGTTTGAGAAAGATCCTCCTCCTGCACCGGTGCAGCAACAGCCTGCAGCCAAAAAAGCACCCCCTCCCAACCTCAACCCTCCCGTGCCTACAGCCGCTATGCATGCGATGTCACTGGGACCCAACGCGCAGAAGGCCCCCGGCGGAACGCCGTCAGCCGGCTCGAAGCCCCATAAGGAAAAGAAAGAGAAGGAAAAGAAGAGATTGCACTTCTTCCGGTAGTATTTCGCGGGAGCTTTCCCTGAAAGACCTGATAACTGTGATTGCCATTCTCCTTTCCATCCCATTTAGCGCTGCTGTGATACCATCTCATACTGTGTTTCTGGCGCTGAATGAACATATATTGATCTTCGTCTTCAGCTGACTTGTATGATAGTGCTTTATAAAGTAAGCAGCCGTGTAATGTACTATCTGCGCTAATTCTAATCGTCAATCGGGTATCACATAGTAAAAATCAGATTCTATACGCATAAAAGAAAGGCCAAACCCCAGTTCCATCACGTATCCCAAACCAACCTATGCACCACCACTCAGGTACCGTTGCACATCGTCATTCTGATAGAACATCTCCCGCAACTTCTCCCCTCTCCTCTTCGCATCAAAATGCCCCTTTCGCACCTGCTTCGCATTCAATCTCTGCACCTTGGCCGGAGCAGCAGCAGCAGCAGCTACCCTTTTCTTCCCCTTTGCACTCGACTCGACCTCAGCCCCCAGCCCCACAGTGTCAACCTTCAGCCTCCCCTTGAGGGGTTCCCTAATGCCCTCACGCCCAGGAGCCCCAAGACCCAGTCTACTATCCGGATCCCAACCATAAGCGGACAGATACCGGAGTCCGTGACGGGTGCGGTCGAGATGGGACGGTGGATGCGAGTGAGATAAACACAGCTGATGCGCGAGCGATGCTTCATGTGGCCGAGCAAGGCCCTTCTCATCTATACCTGCTGTTTCCCCGTCAAGCGGGAGATTGCACACCTCGCACCGTTGGACCGGAGCTGGGACGGCGGAGGGCGACGGCGGCGCGGAAGCTGTTTCGTTGCGCGCGACGGGTTCTGATGTCTGGCTGGGTGCTTTCTCTTTCGGTAGGACGATTGAGAGGTATCTATCGGCTGGACTTAAGCCGGAGGATGTGGATTGGGGTGTGGTGGCTGTGGTTGTTGAGGTGGTGGTGGTGTTTAGTTCATGTTCTGAAGAGCGGACGAACTGCACGCGCTTGCGACGGATTCCGGCGCCGAAAATGCGCTGGTCTTCCAGCGGAAGAAAATAATCCTCATCGTCGCTGTGGGACATACTTCGTCAGGAGCTTGGTGCCATCGAAATGCTGTTGTGACTCGTGAGGGGAAAATTGTTGGTAATCTAAGATGTTGGCGGTGGTGGCGGGAGATCGGCCGCTATTTGACTGACGCAGCTCCGGCTGCTGTTTTAGTGTTTCAACGGGATTGCATTCCAGAACCTGTTCACTCTTTCACTTCTTCAATTTGTTGGTTTTTATTTCCCATTCGCTCATTTACTACCAGGTTACACAATGCCCATCCCCATTATTGTTCAGGGGATCCGGGAGGGTATAGACTCGATTCCGTATGCCTACACAGTTCTCAAGATTGCGCCATGGGTGCTGCTCATCGCTGCCCTCAAGTACTATTTTGGGGGAGCTCGGAATGGCTCAGAGCGGGTGATGCACTCGAAAATTGTCATGATTACCGTAAATTCACCATGGTCGCTTTCATTTCATCAAGGATCCTTACTGATACAATGCTCTAGGGAGGGACATCAGGCATTGGCGCCAGCGTCGCCCATGAGCTTGCATTACGCGGCGCCCAGATCATCCTCCTCACCCACCACTCCCCCTCAGACATCTTCCTGATCGATTACATCGAAGACCTGCGCAAGTCAACAGGCAATCAACTCATCTTCGCTGAACAAGTCGACCTCTCCTCCTTACATTCCATCCGGACCTTTGCGACCAAATGGATCGACAACTATCCTCCACGACGACTCGACATGGTCATTTTGTGCGCTAGCACCGCCTTGCCCGCCTCCAGCCGGGGACGAATGACAATAGACGGCTTGAACGAGGAGTGGCAGGTCAATTACCTGGGAAACTTCCACCTACTGAGCATTCTGAGCCCCGCGCTGAGAGCGCAGCCCGCTCATCGAGACGTGCGGGTCATTTTCACCACATGCTCGAGCTATATTGGCGCGAAACTCGACACCAAGCAATTAGAGGCAGTGACCAGTGGTTCGAAACCGGCAGGGCAAACAGCGACCAAGAAGAATGGAAAGCCACAGAAGAAGGCATCCACGGAGAAGGGAGCCAGCCTATTCGGCCTGAGCAAACTCGCTCTGATGATCTTCGCAAACTCCTTCCAGAAACACTTCAACTCATATCAACGTCCGGACAAACAGCCGAACGGTACCCGCGTTATCGTCGTTGACCCGGGCCTCAGTCGAACTCCGGGAACCCGTCGCTGGCTGACGGGTGGCTCACTCTGGGGTCTGCTTATCTACCTTCTCACCTGGCCACTGTGGTGGCTTATCCTAAAGTCTCCTCAGCAAGGTGCGCAGAGCATCTTGTATGCGGCCATGGAGGCGCGGTATGGCCGTGGCGCCGGCGGGTGGATGGTGAAGGAATGCCGGGAGGTTGATTTCTCCCGAAAGGATGTCAAGGACGAGGGGCTCGCCAAGGAACTCTGGGAATTCAGTGAGAAGCAAATTGAAGCGAAGGAGAAGGAGGGTGCACTCAGACGTGCTCAGACTAAGTCGAAGGAGAAGATGACGGAGAAGGACAAGAGCGGAAAGCAGCAAAATACAAAGGGCTCGTCAACGTCCGGAGCTGGTGCCGTGAAGGAGCAGAGCTCTGGATCCAGAAGGAGCCGCAAAGCAAATCAATAGATTATATTGAAGCCCCTCAGTTAGAACTATGTGTATAGAATTACCTTGCAATTCTGGCTTTTGCATGTGTACAGGATGAGAAGAAAAGAAAGATTAAGGGAACACAACCAATTATTTCTGCTATATGTACCTGAATCGAAGGGATATGATATAGATGTCACCAAGAAAAGGAAATTCGTCTCTTTCAGTCTACAATATCTCATAAGTCTAAGCCAATGCGCTCGTGCACTTTTCCAGCTTCTCGCTCGCAGAGAACCCTTTAGACCCTTATTTTCATTCGCAATGATTATTTACTTCTTGAGCTGTTCCAGCAGCTCGGCAGGGGGCTGTTGACGGTAGCCCTGGGGGTTGTTCTTGGTCCAGCGCCAGAGGTCCTCGCAGGCCTGCTCGAGGGTACGCTGGGCCTTCCAGCCAAGCTCCTTGTTGGCGCGAGTAGGGTTGGAGGTGAGGTTGAGAACGTCACCAGCGCGACGGGGGGCAACCTCATAAGGAAGGTCACGGCCAACGGCAGCGGAGAAGGCGCGGATCATCTCGTAGACGGTGCTGCCCTTGCCGGTACCCAGGTTCCAGGCGCGGACGCCGGGGTTGTTGGCGCGCAGGTAGTTGAGGGCCTTGAGGTGGCCGTCGGCGAGATCGAGAATGTGGATGTAGTCACGGATAGCGGTTCCGTCGTGAGAGGCATAGTCTGAGCTTGCATTAGCATAGTCCACTAGTCTTTTACGTCTCGAAACTGTCAGAACACATACCGTCACCGAAAACGAGCAGCTTCTCACGCTTGCCGGTAGCAACCTGAGCAAGAAGGGGGAGCAGGTTGTAGGGGACGCCCTGAGGGTCCTCACCCATGATGCCACTGGGGTGAGCACCAGCGGGGTTGAAGTAGCGAAGGAGGGCAGCGTTCCACTTCTTAGCCTCATCCTCCTTGCCGGCCTTGGTGGCATTGTTGCGCTGAGCGTTGATCACGTCGGTGATGGCGGTCTCAACGGCAAACTTGGTGTTTCCGTAGGGGTTGGTGGGGCCCAGAGGGCACTCCTCGGGGATGGGGATCATGTTGGGGAAGCGGGTGGCATCACCGTAGACGGTGGCAGAGCTGGAGAAGACAATGTTGGTGACATTGTGGCGGACCATGGAGCGAAGCAGGCAGATAGTGCCGTAGACGTTGACCATGTAGTAGTCCAATGGCCTTTCGCCGGACTCGCCAACAGCCTAAAATAGACTATGGGTGAGCAATTGATCGCAATACACGCTCAGAAAGAAAGAGAAGATATACCTTCAGAGCAGCAAAGTGAATGACACTATCAATGTCGGGGTGGGCCTCGAAGACCTTGTCGAAACCAGCCTCATCGGTGACATCCAGCTGAACGAACTCGGCCTTCTTGCCGCAGATCAACTCGATACGATTCAGAGCTTCTACGGAGGAGTTGTACAGGTTGTCAGTAACGACGACCTTATAGCCAGCCTCGAGCAAAGCGAGGGTGGTGAAGGAGCCAATGTAGCCAGTGCCACTGTGGGTAGACACGAAGGTACAGAGTCAGCAATCTAGGCCTGTTGGGAGGTGGGGGGATAAGCTGAGCTATCTTGGCTGATACGTACCCCGTAACAAGAACTGAACCAGCAGACATTATGATGACGAGAGATTCAATTGATTGAGATAAGAATACAACAAACTAACAAAAGATGACAGTCGCAGAAAGAATGAGATGGGATTGAATTAAAAGAAAACAGAAGAGCAGGAGGAAGAGGCAGGGGAATGCCGACGGGGCGAGGGGCACCTGGAGATTTAAGGGGAAGACCAGCTTATTCTGGTGGGGGGACTGCGGACTGCGGAGGGGCACACTCCCAAACCCAGACCATTACTGACGACCACTACGCACAGCTGTGGCTTATTCTTATCCAATACGCGGTAGTCGCTATCTATTCCTGCATTTCATCCATTCTTCTCTTCATCTATTATCCCTTGAGTCGGACACTGCTTGAGTCCGTCATGCCATGTTCCGAATAAGGAGTAGTATCATCTCCGAGTGATTTTCATTCGTTTGTTGATCGACAAAATCCAGCGGCACAGCCAAAACCGACTACGCGGCGCCACATAGTACGATCGGCTCTTTAATTAACTCTACTGGTGCGAGCATACGTATGACAGTCAGCCGAGAATTTGATTTCATCTATCTGAATAGACCAGCAGGACAGGATACAGATGCATGCTGCACAGTAAGCATATGCAAGAATCAAGAATTGACCGTTGGCAACCGAATTCAATCGACGGCTTGCATTCGGCCCAGCCTTTAGGAATCCATTCGGCTCATTGTAGCTCGCATTCGGGATGTGAGCTGCGA